TATCTATTAGCGACTTCGTAGACACATTGTGGGTTGAATATCGTGTTGGGAAAGTCAAACCAGTCTTGTAGTAGTTGAATCACTTGTTTCACTTCAACTATGAAAGTGTATGTATTTTGAGATTTTAAAATGAAGTATCTAATGGCAATGGAATTAGTGTGGTTCATGAATCCTCTTGGATTTAATTAGTGAGATTGACCATCTCTTTATTTATGAGTAAGTTGGGTAGAAAGCAATCTAGCAGGCTTGCTCGACCGGGTTATCTCGGTTGAGCGTCGGTCGCTCTCCTCATGGTCGGGGCGTGATAATGTGTAAGCAGTGATAATTTATTTTCCTAAAGCAGTGATAGTTCAAGTCTGAGACCACTACTGATTCTGGAGTAAAAATCGTTGTTTTTTTAAGTGGAGGTTCAATGCAGAGCACACCTTCATTATGCATGATAGTCTCTCTTTAACGGGTAAACTCTCTTATTTTAATATTAAAATGAGTGGGAGAATGTTAGTATAATGGCATTTTATTATTAAAAAAATATGCAATAACTCTCACTACTCCATGATATAGAAAATGACCATAACTCTTTTGTAACTCATCTCCCATGTTCTACTACTAATTACATAATAATTTAACCATTATCCCATGTTATCCATAATTTCATAACTTTTGTCATTTAAATTACTTGCAAAAGCTATAGCAGCCCAATTGTCAGGCACACGANATGCTTTCTAATCCGTTGGCTGCAAATAATTTAAATTGGTACGAGACTCGTATCTATACGTCGTCTCGTGCTTATTTAAATTCTTCTTCCCGTGGCTGTTTTCACCGTGCCTCTTAGTCAATTGCTGTTCTTTGACCATTCAACTAATCCACGTGTCATGCCACATCATCTTTAATATAAATTCAGTTTTTTTCCCAATACAGTCAACTTTTGCTCATGTATTGAAAAAACAGTATTTTGCAAAACAAAATTCTTTGTTACTTGCTTCAGTATCCATCCCCCAATACACTCATGCAGATCTCAGAAACCGATTCATGATAAATCAAAAATCTCCACAAGTTTAATCTATGCGGTTTGTATCTTCAGAATTGATCTGTGTAAACTAATAAAATGGAACACTTAACTGAATCGCTTTGGAGTAACTGAATCAGAAATTTGACCAATTCACTGAATTTAAGACTTACAACATTCAATTTCCTCTGATGAAAGAGTGTGGACTCCTTCATTTATGCTACGAGTATCTTATTTTTCTAAGGGCATTGCAACCTCTTCTTTGCATGAAGCATCACTTGACTTGATGTGTTTGTGATTAAGAGATAAGATCTCACAATAAAAAGATTGATGTAATTGCTCAAATGGAAACTATCTGTTAATGTTGTGTAGTTTCCTTGATATATAGAGAGAAAGCAGAAACAAAAAGGGCAGCCCGCTATACACGGGGTCCGGGGAAGGGTTGGACCACAAGGGTCTATTGTATGCAGTTTTACCCTACATTTCTGCAAGACGTTGTTTCCACGGCTCGAACCCATGACCTCCCGGTCACATGGCAGCAACTTTACTAGTTACGTCAAGGTTCACCTTCATAAAGCAAAAACAAAATTCTAAATAATACCTATAGGATAGAAAATTCTTCTGAATGATGATAATAGGAGTAAACTATTTTGAGTAACCATATTGGAAGTAAACTGATCATCATCTCACTCATGATTATACTCAAAGAAAATTCATGATAACCTACTTCTATGGTTAAAGAAAGAATTCAATCTTAGAGAAGAAAGAGGAAAAGATAAAAATCATTACATCTCAAAGAAACCAATGAATTCAAACTGATTTGTCAGACAAACAGAAAAACAAATGAATTCAAACTGATCAAAATATCAGAGAGTTTGCCTATCTTCTTGCTATTTAAGCCACTGTCGACTAACTCCTGAGCCTTGACTATGTACACATGTCTCTATATCAAAACTTTAAAGATAGACAAGAACAACACATAACTTGTCCAAATGTGAAGCTCAGCAAACATATAATTACCATATTGAAGTAAAACAGACTTTGTTTTATCAGGACCTATTGTGAATAGGATCTGATCCTTTTCTAACTCTTCGTTTGCTCGAGCGATTGGGATCAAATGTTTTGCTTACTGGTGCTGGTTTAACATTTGTTGTGTTCAATTCTTTTGTGACTAACCCCGCGAGCATATGCTGACTCCTTGACATTAGCCCCTGCTGTCTTGTGCTCCATCTCAAAACAAGCTGTGAACTTGTTATAGAATAAGATTTTTCTGGAAATACTGCTAATAGTCCTATGCAAATAAGGAGCACAAATGGCTTTTGAGTAGTAAAAATCATGGTTTCTTCTGGTGTTTGGGAGAAAATAGAAATATCAGTAGCATTTATATCATCAATAAGATTTTTTTTCTTTTGTGACTATTTCTGTAGATATGAGCCTTCTGGTTTATTTCTTATAGGATTTGGAAAGAATAAAACAGGAGGGGTCCCAGAATATGTCAAGGAGTTTAGATTCACTCTAATCATAATATGTACAGATGAAGCAAATTAAGGCTGTTATAAAAGGAATAGGTATGACTAGGGTTGAATAAAGGCCTTGGAACAACATCTTTGAGAAGCTAAGCATATTTTTTCACTTGTTTCCATATGTCTCTATCATTAGCCTTGCCTTTGTCTTCTAAACAAAGACCAATTTGGTCACTTGAACTAGTAGTCAACATGCCACATCATCTCACTGTGCTTACATGTAAATGCCATTGGAATTTATGTTGTGCGGACTCTCCAAAATGATGCCGCACTCGTGTCGGATCCTCCAAAAATATACTATTTTTGGAGGATCCGACACGCACCCAGCAATATTTTCGAAGAGTCCGAGCAACATAGACCGGAATTCCAATTAATTATTGTGTTTAACTTTTATATAGTAAAGATATACTCTCAGTGTAATTTAATCTATCATAGTAGGTTGCCAACCCAATTTATCACGTTTCTAATTACACTTATTATAAACCGTCACTGTACTTATTTTTAGGTGATGTACTAGTACAAAAAAATTTTAGGTGATGTACTAGTACAAAAATCTCTTTGCGTTGTCAGTATATAAAAGTTAAACTCTTAATTATGATGTTCTTGAGTGTACATGCTATATTTGCTAATCAAAGCTTACTTAGGTATTAAGGAAGAAAGTCTTTTTGGTGAGATTAAGCAGCCAAACTACAAGATTGGTAAAGCAAAATGTGATAAAAAAAAAAAGAAATGTGGGGGAGTAGAAAATCTTATTCCCCTAATAAAAAACCAAACACTAGCTTTATGCCATCAGGAAAATCTCACTTTAGAATTCCAAGCTCTCTTCTCTATGCAGCAAAAACAGCAGTCCTGGTTTCTTGTGCTAAATGTGTTTCTTTATGCTTTTCTTTTGCTCTTTATTTTGGTTGACAGGTCCAGTATTCCCTATTCAAATAAACCCAATCCAAGTGTAGCTTTCTCTAATTTGAAATTAATTATTTTTGCTTTTCTTTTTTCTCGTTTAACCAGGCTGACCACTTTTTTTCTTTATTTTGCTTTGATCTAGTGTATGATATTAGAGAAAATCACATGCAAGTTGGAACATTCTAAAGCGTAGGATATGATACTTTATTCAATTGCACTGTGCCAATGGATTGATCTTAACAGTGAAATTGTCCAACTTATATAACCATGAAAAATATTTTGGGTTTCTATTCTTTTTATATTTGTTTACACACACACACACACATTTTCTCTTGCAACATAGGTATATGGACCTCCTCTATAGTATTTACAAAATTACAATGACATAGAGAGAGATTAGCACAACCCATATGGAAGACAGAGGCAGATGTAGGATTTTGAATTTATAAGTTTTGGATGCTAGAAAGGTAGATTATTTGAGTATTGGATAAATTTTTATACATATTTCGTACAATTTTTAACATAAATACAGAATTTAGGCTAAAACTACTGAGTTCTGCTTAAGCATAATTGTAGCTCTGCACTAGATTTAAGACTAACTTGTACATATCAAGAAAAGGTTGTTATATCATGTTAAGAAAATGAACGTGGAGCATAACCTCAAATCTAACTCATAAGGTTAAAATTGTCCAACCAAGGTAGAACACTCTAAACCCTTTAATTTCTCCTCCAAATAAAGTAGTGATTCGGTATTGGAGGGAACTATTAATTTGCCGGTGTGCTAATATAAAGTTAGACGTACTTATTAAATGCTCTAAAGCTAAGGTTTGGCCATGAGAATCTTGATTTGTTGTTTCATGATTTCGTCCTATGTCCTAAGGAGCTAACTTTATTTATTTATTATACGTAAAAAGAGCTAAAGACAAAAGTTCATTTGTAGAAAAGTAGAAGACTGCATCCAAATGGGAAATTTGATGCTTACAATGCATTCTGCTCTGGAGACTTCGAGATTTTTACTTCTTAGGCTTATGAGTTTGGACGTCTTCTACGAAGAAATAAATCAAGAATTTGTGCATTGTTTTGTTTTGGTACCGTAATTAAATAGAGCATATGAGTTATGACATTCCACGAATATGATTATGTATAAGCATTCAAAAAAACTAATTTTGAACTTATAATTTCAATATTGAAATGAGTTCAACGGTAAGAACCTAAAAATTGAACCCGGCAAAGTTGAATCATACATGAAATTACACCTTATCTGCTAACAAAGATCTCGTATAGACATAATGATGTAATTGGTAACAGATCGCTGGAGAATATCGAACTTTAAGTTGTGTGGGCTCACAAAGACAACTCTTTGTTAAAGCTTAAATTTTGAAAGACACAGTGGGACACTGCAAACAGAATGTTTACCAAATCAGTAGTTCAAGAAAAACACTTTTTCACTTTTAAGTTAATTCGGCCAAATATATAAATTGTACAAAGGGGAAAGGATTCCTATTAACGTGGATACAAGAATGTTCGTCTATATATGCATCTAATAGTGTTGATCTTTCTACAAAACCTTAAAAATAAATATTCAACAGTAATTTGAAATAAATTCGAGATGGCGAGTTTTTAGCTGACATGAAAAGCCAGGGGTCCCTATAAGACATACAGTATGTTACAAAACTGGTCTTATCCAGATGTGAAGATTGTACTAAATGTTATAGTTACACATGCCAAGATCAAAAGAATGTAATATACAGCTTGGTAAAAATTGTTGGTTCTTGAAACATCAGTATGCTGCTATTATCCATAATACTACTTACAAAACAGAATGCAGCATTTAGGGTTAAAAGACGAGGCCGGTTGCTGGAACCTTTCATAAAAGGAACTGGTATGCACATGTCACAACTCTTTTAAACACGATCCAGTGGTGCAGGCACAGACGAGTCTGCCGATGCAGGGACAGAAGGTGTAGCTGATGCCATGGCAAACTGTACACCTGTCGACTGCCCAGATTGTACCACAAATGCAAATTGTGCTGTTGCTAATGCTGCTGCCTCCTGCTTCACCAAACCATGATCACAAGCTTTACGATCAATTGTCAGTAAAGAAACATATACGACGCTTATTTAAAGTATTTTGGCAAATTTACAGCAAAATATTCAAACAGCAGAACTAACATCAACCTCTCTTTGCCTGCGCTGCTGCAAAATGCTGATGGCCCAGACCATGATGTAGCACGGTAAAAGAAAGCCAATTAACCGAAGCAAGAAAAGCTGCAAGACCACACATTGATTGGACATATAGTTTCCAGCATTAATAAGAAATCTTTTTACAAGAAATAGATAGAAGAAAATAGCACATATGGATATCCAAAATTACCGAGAAGAAAGCAGATGGATCTTCGTCGTCTCCGTCTGCATCTGCTACAGGTAATGCATGGCGCAAGAGCAGAAAAGCCATTAACTGCCAGTCAAAAAATTATGTGGATCATCAGTATTAATTGCAACTTTAATAAATACCAGTGTCTTTGTAGACACCAGCTCCAACTCCAACCAAATAATGACATAAAGGTGTAACTGTTTCTAAATTGACATTTTCTTCAGAGCCTATTGAAATATAGAAAATAAAGGAAACCTTTAGATAAATGAATAAGCATAGTGGAAGAAGCAACATCTGTGTCCCTAAAAAATTTCTCTTGTTTACCTACAAGAATAGTTTTAAAAACTCAGCATTTTGGATTATTGTTGTTCTTTGGAGTGGAAGTGACTAAGAGGTATTTACCCACTCCTACACTGAGTTGCTTGGATTCGGGTGCAGGCGTTTGATACGGGTGCAGATCTAGAGGTTGGATCCTTCGTGGTCTAAATTTTAAGAGTAGGGGGTACGGATCCAGGTAAGGGCGCGGGGATTCGGCTAAAAATAATTCAAATATCTAAAAATAGAGTTAGACGTTATGAGGAAAACTTAGAAGGTGTTTTGAGAAGGAGAAAATATTGATCAAGAGGAGAATCCGAGAAGGAGATAAAAGGAAAAGGCCTGACATAGGAATTTCTATATACAAGGTATTTCATTTTCTTCAATTTTACCTTAGCTATTGTATTGATTTCAGAAATCATTGGATCTATCCCAACTTTCTCCGTTAATTTTGGTCAAAGTACCCAAAATTGGTTGACCAGATCCGCTACGGATCCCACAACCACACCAACGTCGTGTCAACACGTGTGCGGAACCAAAAGTAAAGAGTCCAAGCAACTTAGCTCCTACAAGGTGAATCAAGCTTGACTGAGGCAATGAGAGAAGAGATAGAGGCTCAGAATTCTAGCTTTTCTCTGGGACAAATAGCAGTAAATGCTTACAATTAGAGCAGCAGAACGGCAGAATGCAACGCCACTTGCATTTGTGGCATTATAATCATCATATTCAGCTTCCAAAAGTTGACGTTCAGCCTCTCTAATCGCCAAAAAGCGAGGATCATGTAAATCAAGAGGGGTCCCAGCGATTTGCCATCCTCCCCTGCACAACAGTGAGGCAACAAAATAGCTAATGAACTACGAAGTAAAAATGCTGAATCTTCATTACCAACACCACCACTTAACTAATATTTGAAAAGAAAAAAACAAATAGGAAACAATATAACACAATGACCATGATTCATCTAAATTGTACACAGTATTGTTAAAGGCGAAGCATGCTTTGGAGCTTTACGTGCAACTGCAATTAAAATGAGCCGTAAGTGAAGAAAAACTAAAAGTTACATCTTACATCTTTAAATATACATATACAGATATATAAGATGAAAAACCTATTAAGTAAAAATAACAAGTATGTATGCAGAGGAATTGGAATAACTTTGATTAAGTGAAAAATACGCAAAAGCACGTCAATCAAGTTAAAAAACCACCCTAAATATGCAGATTAGTGTCTAACTCAGATTTAATGACTAGTTTTCTTACTGAACTTCCAGTTCCCATAACCTCCTCCTCCTCCTCCTTAATGGCCTGATGACTCTCATTGGTATCACATATTACATATTCTTTTCTCTTTGAATTGTTCTCTTAACAGTTACTACATTATTTTGATTGCCATACTTATTTAGAGGTGACCCTTTTGAGATACCAACCATGATATTCCCAAACTAACCTAATTTAAAAAGGAAAAAGGTCCGAATTGCCATTGTACTATCTGAAAATGCTCAATTTTACCCTCCATTAGACTTTTGCTCAATTCATAACCTTGCCTATAGCAAATAGTCTCGTACTTGACATTGATGGAGCTCCAGCGTGAAATGGATGGACTCCGCATGCCCAAATTCTTTGAGGAAAAAAGATCCAAATTTACCCCTCAACTTTTGACTATGGTTTAAAATTGCCCTTGGGTTTGGGGCTCCATTTGGGGTCAAGTGCGAAAAGAAACCTTTTCCTAGTGGCAAGAAAAATATTAAACCAAAAGTCCAATGGACGACAAAGTTACTCAATTTTGAATAGTACAGGGCAAATCATTTGCCCCCTTTCCCAATTAAAAATGTTGGCTGGTTGGTATTGTTGTAGGTGAATGCCTCCGCGCCTCGGTGCCTTAGTGAAGTATGCCTATCCTAGAAAAATGCTCAGCAGAGTGTTGTGCCTCATTACAATACTCAAGCATGCCTTTAACAACACTATTTGAAAAGCTAACATAAAAGGGAAGACATAAGAGAAAATTAACAAAAAAAATAACCAGTTAAGAAAGTAAACTCACCCAATATCTATAATAGTCTCCTCTGGCTGAGCTCGAGGAGGGGCAGTGTAACCAGGTTGGTATGGCTGCATGTTGAAAATAAAAATGAGAAGTTATTATATGATACAGTAAGATGGAAGAACAATAGAAAATGCAATAATCTAAAAGCATCAAGCTCAATCAAAAGTTCCCAGAAATCTGTAATTACTGATGATCAGATGGCGAACTACATATAGCCCCAAGAGGCTTACAAAAGAGAATAGAATGACTATAGGTGAATACAAAAACATTGACTTGACAAACCTAAGCATTGATCCTATCTATAATAAAGAAATTCGAATCTTGCACTCATGCATATGTATGTAATACATCAAAATCATGATTGTAATATAGAAATTTTAGACAAGTAAAAAGCTTCCAAAACTAAAAGTCTAGTGAGACATTGAGGTAATTTGCAAGAACATCCTCATTGACATACGTGCTCATATCATAAAATGAAACTATTTTCTTTGAGAAAGAAAAAGAATTCACATCACAAAACATATCACATTGAGTACCGTGATTCAGTTCCATGTGCTAGAAGGAACCATTTCTTTTCCACTGGACAACTTAACAAAAAGAACAAATATTAACGAATGGTGACAAAAGCAGGAAAACTTTTACTTTCTCTTTGGTGATTTTTTTCCTTTTTTGGCATACGATGAAAACAGGCTTATTTAATAAACAAGTCTTTTCACCTATCTCATAATATGCAACATTGTGCAAATCAACTAGAACAGAGACATACCTGATGGCAAATCTCACAAGTAATGTCGCCCTTCTCATTGCACCAGTGTTGAACACATTTCCGATGTGCATACTGCAGGTCAATTGCATTTACTAAAATCATTAGCACTTAGACAAACTACTCATACATTAAAAGAAAAGCAGAACAATTAAAGAAAGAAAATACGGCGGAAAGACTGTAGAGCTGAGCAAGAACTTGAAATACCTAACTGTAATAAATCACATGCTCTATCAGTACAATAAATGAAAACAGCAAAATTGAGACTTGTGCAACCGGAATAAGGGAAGAAAGGTTGTTTTAGGGGCTCCAGATAATCGCCTAAAACATGGATGAGATCACCAATGAGCAGAGGCAGACCCAGAATTTTAACGCGACGGGGGCACCAATATTCTTCTCAAACAAAGTCCCCTAAAGGCTTTTAGTGTTCAGGTTGCTAAGTGATTTAAATTAACCATTTTCAAGGTATGTTCATATACATATACAAAATTTCTGTCAAAGTTTACGGGGTTAGGTGACCCCTCAAGGTTACACATAGGTTTGCCTCTACCAATGAGGCACCATGGAGACATAACTAAGCAATCCTAAGAACGGACAAGACCACCATCACCCAGAGGATAGCACACAAGGGAATTTGGGCAGCCTATGAAATGATTGTTGACGTACAGTTGACCAGGAGAAAGATCCTAACTCAAGACAAAAAGTAAAAGCTGACTTCTAATGAACAATTTATGGAAGACAAGAGAAGGAACAATTAGGAAAAGGGAGTTTCAAGAAAACAACTAAAATGTAAGGTGTGCATGGGTATGAGTGTATTTGAATATTTTTGCGACTCAATAAGAGAATATCTAAATTTGCTAACAACAAAGATAACGGGAGTGAAAATAGAAAATTCACCTTGAGACTTCCACTACAAGCACAAGGGCTCTCCAAATTGTTCAAGGAATCTTCGTCTTGGCAAATGCGGCACTCTGCATTCCCAATTAATGGAACCTCCTCATTAGCTTCTTCTTCTTCTTCCATGGCCAATTCTTTCTCCTTTCCAGTCTTTGAAGAAGAGGGTCCTTCCACTTCTGGCTTCTTCCTGTTCTCAACGGCAATTTGAACCGTTTCTCCTCCATCTGGGTTCACAACCCGGTCATCATTCACCACCAAATGCTCTCCCATTTTATACAACGACAATATTCCTACATTAGAAAACAAAACTCCTATTCTCAATCGGGTCCCAAATTAGTTGAACTTCGTTTGTATGAATAAAGGTGAGATCTTTTTTCAGAAAATCAAAAATAAAAAACTAATTTCGCGGTTTGGGGTTAATTATATGAATAAAGGTAAGATCTTTATTCACGAAATCCAAATAAAACACCAATTTCACAATCTGGGGTAAGAAATTATATGAATAAAAGTGAGATCTTTATTCCAGAAATCAAAATAACCACCAATTTCACAATTTGGGTTTAGTCATATTATACGAGCAAAAGCAAGATAATCCAATAAAAGAACAATAACAACTATATCTCACCTTCAAACTAGTTGAGATCATATGATAGATTTGATAGAAAAGGGAAAAAATAAAAGAAAATTGGATACAGGCCTGGGAAATTTCTACAAAAAGAAAATCACCGCTCAAGCCGAGAAACTCAGCAAGAACAGCGATCTCTAAAAAAAACAAGTCAAATGGGAAAGAGAAATTATTTAATTAAAAAAAAAGAAGAAGCAGAGAAAAGTAGTAGTAAAATGTACCTGAAGAAAGAGAGAATCAAAAAATGATAGTGGAAAAGGAGAACAAATACGCGGTTTTGTTGCACAACCAAGAAAAAAAATAATGGAGGAGGTAGAGTTTGTATTTAAGCTTTGAAATTGTACAAACCGAACACCGAATGTCCGCGTTATTTTTTGTTTTTTGTTTTTGACCTTTTCTTATTGTTATTTTTTGTTAGCGGTCTTCCTCGTAAAATTGCTCCAATTAGAAGCTTTACAGCTTTATCCTTTTTGTTTTTGGAACAATGTATTGCAAGTACATAGGTATTCAAATTTTAGGATTAATTGCACAAAAGGACATCACATTTATAACGGAAAAGGGTCAAAACCATCCTTATTGTTTGCTAAATGGTTTATAAATATTCTCCGTCTATTTATCCGTTCAAAAAAATACACTCCGTCCATTTATCCGTTCAAAAGAACACACGAAGTTAATTTTATTAATAAAAATACCTCCGCGATTAACGACAGAACTGATGGAGTGTATTTTTTTGAACGGATAGATGGACGGAGGGTATTTATAAACCATTTAACAAACGATAGGGATAGTTTTGGCTCTTTTTCGTTCATTTAATGAAATGACGATTTTTAATTGGGCCACGTGGCAATCTTTTACTGCAATCTTTTACCCATTTACCTGGTCCGACCCTATTTATTTGACCCGCCTAATTATTTTCTTTCTTTTTCTTTGCTTTCTTTTCCCTCTCTTTTTCCTTATCACCTAGCACACCCACTCTCATCTCACAAAGAATTTTTAGCGTTTCTTTGTTGAAACAAATCTTTCTTTGTGTTTGAAAATATGGCTTTGGCTTTGGCTTTCACTTCATCTGTAATTCATGGCTCTTTGTCCTCCTCTTTTTTTTTTATGAACATCCCAAAGGTAACCATTTACTCTCTTTTTTACCTTTTATAGATTCAATCTTTATCCTAGAATGTGATAATTTCAAGCTTATTAGCACCTTGGTTTCAATTTTCTTGTGTGCTTGTATCTGTTATATGTAGTTATTTTTTTCTCTGTTATTTCGTGGCTCTTTTGTCTTCTTATGAACAATCCAAAGATTTCCATTACTTGTCCTTTACAAAGTTTCAATATTTCTCCTAGATTTGATTGATATATTTGGACAATTTTAGCATTTGGACTCAATTTTTTTGTTTCAGATTTTTAGTTTGTTTTGATCATTGTCTTCTTACTTAACAATCCAAATGTATCTGTTGATTTTCCATTTAAGAGTTTCAATACTTATTCTGAGTTTGATTGGAGAAATTTCAGAATCTGATTTGAATTTCGGGTTATTTGATTTTGGGTTTTATCTATTCTTTAATTAATTTGTTATTGTGTGTATGCAGTGTCCCAATTGGAGAAGAAGAAAGGGGGAGATCAGATGAGTGGGAATGGGTGTAATAGATACTACCCATTTTTGTAAAGGGGTCGGATAAGGTAAATGGGTTGAAATAATATCCATTTTTTGTTCCAGTCAAAGATTGCCCCGTGGCCCAATTAAAAATCGTCATATCACTAAATGAACGAAAAAGGGCCAAAACTATCCCTATCGTTTGCTAAATGGTTTATAAATATCATCCGTCCATCTATCCGTTCAAAAAAACACACTCCATCAGTTCTGTCGTTAGTCGCGGGGGTGGTTTTGTTAATAGAATTAACTTCGTGTGTTTTTTTGAACGAATAGATGGATGGAGTGTATTTTTTTGAACGGATAAATGGACGGAGAGTATTTATAAACCAATTAGCAAACGATAGGGATATTTTTGACCCCTTTTCGCATTTATAACCTTATTGCAGAAAAAATACTAAGCAAATTTTTTTAAAGAAAAAATCACTATACTTTCACTACATAACTTAGAATCTTAACTTGTCCAAAAATCAATCAACCTTCACCAAAATTCACCAAGTCTAATTTCACTTCATTTCTCTCCATTAAGAAAATTATTTTGGACTAAAAAGAATCATTTAGCTATTAAAATGATTTTCTGATGGAGAAATTATTTTAAATTAGGTTTGGAAGTTTACCGAATATCATTATTAAAAAAATGTACGTACCCTTTGTTTTTTGTCCACAAACCTAGCAGTATTTCATGGGTCAGGGAGTTTGAGGGGGCATGATAGTGTTATTCCTTTAATATATATATATATATNGCGTGCAAGTGTACAAAGCTAGCTTGTCGAATTGTTTATACAAGTAAAAGACTACTAATCCACTAGTATTACATTGTTTTATACGAGTACTAGATGGCCGGTGCTCGTGCTATGCGCGAGCGTTTGTGTGACATAGTTGTTTTTGTTATTCGTGCACCTACAGATTACAAAAAAAAAAAAAAAAAAAAAAAAAAAAAAAAAAAAAAATCAACACCAAGAAGATGTTTTCATAGAAAAATGCATTTATATCCAATTGCACAAAGAAAAGAAAAGGAAAAATAAAAATTCACGCCCAACACAATTTCAAAAGATAGAGGCAGTTCCCTCAAGTGCTTGAATGTCCATAACATATGAACTGTTCTCTCTTGTTGTCGAATTGTACTTTTATTGAGTCACTACTACACATTATCTCTTCCTTGTTAAGTTATTCTTGTTGAGACCCTTATTTCCTGTTGTGCCCTTCTTTCTGAGCTTGTTCTTCCGTTTCTTTGTGTTATGAAGTTTTTGAGTTGATTTACTTGTCGTATTCTCATATTATTGTTGTTGTCGTTGTTGTATTCAATGTTATTGAGTTGAGGGCTATGTGTGGTTGTAATATTGAAACTGCTTTGAGGAAATATTGTGGCATATGGGCACATATTTGAGAGCCATTTTATTGAGTTGCTATGTTTTGGCACACGTGTTATTGTTGTGAGGATTGTTTGAGTGTTTGCACAATGTTTCTGTCGTACTGTTGTTATGATGTTTACACGAGGTTTCTATCGTGCTGTAATGATGTTTGCACGAGGTTTCTGTCGTGGTGTTGTTATTATTGATACGCACGGACATATGGGCTCCTCATTACTTCATTATATGTCTTAAGGTGTTCTTCTATTAAATAGATTGATAATAATTCATCACTCAAAATATCAAGATCAATATTTTCAGTCAAGGAAGTAGTGATAAAGTCAGGACCAAAGCTAGCTTTAACTCTACGTCTCTTACCCCTTCTAAGTTCATTTTCATGCTCCTTAGCAGTAACACTAGAAGAAGGCAAAATATGAGAATTAACAGACATATTGTAGAAGCATTATTATGCATATCACTAGGCAAATTATTTTACAATGGAAAAACATGCTCAAAAAATTTTGCACCTCTAGATTCACAAATAGAACTATCATTCAAAGACATAAATCTATACGCAGTACTATTTTGAGCATAATCAATAAAAATAACATCAAAAGTCTTGGGTCCAACAGTTACTTGTTTAAAATCAGGTAGACCAACCTTAGCCAAACACCTCCACACTTTCAGAATTTTTAAGTTAGGGGCGAACTCTTTCTATAACTCATATAGGGTTTTATCTAACTTCTTATGAGGGACTTTATTAAGAACATAGCATGTAGATAAAAAAGCTTTCCCCCCCCCCCACCACCACCACCACATATTATCAAATAAAAAAGCATAGAATTCATTATTTCCTTAAGGGTTCTATTTTTCCGTACAACTACACCATTTTGTTGGAGAGTATAGGGAGCACTAACCTCATGTATAATACCATTAATTTTTCTCACAAAAGGCTTCTAGAGTATTACTACTATATTCACCACCCATGTCAGACCTAATTCTCTTGATTTTTCTATCTAATTGTTTTTTTACTTTTGCCTTATATTTCAAAAATATGCTTTCAGCCTCATCTTTTGACTTAAGAAGATATACCTTAATGTATCTAGAAAGTCATCTATAAAGGTGATGTAGTATTTCTTTCCACCCTTACTAACAATATTCTTGTAATATGCTAAGTCTGAATGCACTAGTTCAAGCAATTATGTCTTTTTACTAGTTACATTCTTAAAAGACTTTTTTGTATGTTTTGCTTCTACACAAACATGACACTTAGAAAAATTATCAACATTAACTGCAACAATTAATTCTATTTTTCTAAGTCTTTTAATTGAAGCAATATTAACATGACCTAGTCTACCATGCCACAAATTAATAGACTCAGCAATATAAGCAGAATTGAAAGTACTAGCATTATTAGTAATCTCTTTAGCGATGTTCAGTACAAATAAACCCCCACTAAGGTAACCCTTCACAACAAAGTCTCCCCTACGAGAAATAATAACTTTATCAGATTCAAAAATAAGTTTAAGACCTTTTTTTGTTGAGAAGCGCACCGGAAACTAAGTTTCTACGAAGGGAGAGTACATACGAAACATTGTTCAAGGCTAAGGTTTTTCCAGAAGTTAACTTAAGGAGAATTTTTCCTTTACCCATAACTCCAACTGTAGTGGAGTTGCCCATGTAGACACACTCGCCATCAGTAGATTCCTCAAAGTCGTGAAACAGCTCCTTGTTGGCGCAAAGGTGCCTTGAAGTGCCTGTATCCAGTATCCAGTCAGTCTTGTTAGCCACCATGTTCGTCTCAACGACCACAACAACAATGACATCACCACCCTCATTAAGGTTAGCTTGGGCTGGAGCTTTTCCTCCCTGCTTTGAGCTTATTCCTTATCTCTGGTTGCATTGAAAGACCTTGTGACTAATTTTGCCGCAGACATAGCAAGGTCTTTTTGACTTTTGAATATGGCCCACCGGTTTATTGAAGTAATTCTGCTTCTTTATATGTCCTTTCTTCTATCTTTTCTTCTATTTTCCTTTAAATCTATCTTTCACAAAAGCACTAGAAGATTCCACAAGGTTAGCTTTAGAAGAATTAAGAGAGAGAGATATTTCATCTTATTCTTAAGCAGTTCAGACTCCTCATCTTTGAGACGGTTTGCTTCCTAAGTCCTCATATAACTGATCAGTTCTTGAAGAGTTAAGTTTTTCTTCTTGTGTTTCAGTTGATTCCTGTAATCACTCCAAGAAGGGGGAAACTTTTCAAGTAGAACATTAGCCTGAAGAATCTCACACATCTCCATGCCTTCGTTCAAAACATCAGCAGTCAAGTTTTCATACTTATGAACCTGCTCCATGATCGACTTATTATCAACCATCTGAAACTTGATCCACTTTCCAACACATACTTCTTTTTCGCTGCGTCATCTGTACCATATTTCTTCTCCAAACTGTCCTATATGACTTTAGCAGATTTATAATTTATAAATAAATTAAAGAGATAGTTAGTCATATGGTTAAGCAGATGCCCTCGAACAATTTTATTATCCTTTTCAAAAAAAATTTGCAGCATTATCAGCAACAACAATAGTAGCAGCATTAGAACTATCAGCAACAACATAAGCAGGAGGTTCGTTGAACAAAACGTAATCAACTTCTAATTGTTCAAAGAAAATTAAAAGTTTTCGGGACCAGCGCTTATAATTGTTTTCATCTAAAGGCTCAAGATTTGATAGATTAGGAAGTGTTTGTTCAAAATGTTAACCATTAGTCAATATTATATGTAAAGAAGTCGCTTTCAAATTGTAAGAAAAATGAGTAGATAATCTTGACGAAGAACAAGAAGGAAATAAGAACAACTTATCAAGAATACTGTGTCGTGACAAGCCACTGTCTTGAAAGCGATTTCGGCCCGACTGGATGCAAATTGTTAAGAACGGTCGCTCCCCAATGTTCTACAACATCTCCAAACACATGCACTCCTGGTTGGAAGTTTGGAATTTGCACAAAAAAATTACCAAGAAATCGGTTGAAGAAGAAGAAAGATGAAGGCGTTTTCTGTGTCCTATTATTCACAAATAAGAATTTGGATTAGGCCTCACGCATATCTCGCGCGTAGGAAGGGGGGGTCATATCAACCACTATTACCTTCAGGACTAATTTCTCATGTGCGTGAGACTACTCCTTTTTACTAGCTTTTTACAAGCCCAACAAAGAAAAAATTTAATATAAGAAGAAGAAAAAGACTTACCACAACCAACGAGGGACACTTTGTCTTTCAAAAAAGACAAAAAAGTAAAGAAGAAAAAGGAACCACAAAAAAATCTTTGGCTTTGCATTATCAAGTATAATAATACCAACAATTGCCACCCCCGGTCGCAAGTAATGCAAGTTACATAGTTGATAGCACCTAATCTTCTAAAACTTTTTTATGAAACATTAATGCGTTTTGAACATTTAATTAGATTGTACTGCTTCCTTTTCCGTGATCATGTCGTGTTAAGTGCTTGATCTTGTCACTAGAATGAAAATGTCTTCTTAGCTAAAACCTTTGTGATAGCAGTGCAAAATAACACAAACAGCACCACAACCTATCTAGTTTTGTTAGCCCATTGAAGTCTTGCGATGGGCTTCTGCAGTTTATAGATAGATTAGAGGCTGTTTGGGTTAATTCTTCTATCCCTACAAAGTGTAAAAATTGCACGGGGCGCTCTATTTGGTCGCCCTCATTTAACTTATACCAATTTTTTTAAATTTTTTTAATATGTATCCATTTTTAATCAACTTCAGTCCCCTTTCTCCTCCTCCTTCTCCTCCTCAAAGTTATATCCGCCCTCAATCCAATAGTTCCATTAGAAGAAATTCAAAGCTTTTTAGCTTTTTTCTTGTCCTCTCCTGCAGCAGAGGCTTGACGACCTAATGAATTCATATGTTAAAACAGATTAGAGAATCTATTCATTCAAACACATGTAATCTCTACTAAATTTGCTAGAAATAATTGATAAAAGAGTATACTGAAAAAGAAAAAGACATAAATAAGAGATAAACCTTCCAACAAGCTGAAAGATATATGGAGCATTCACAATGTAGTAGGCTGAAGTTCAACTCTAAGAAGGCTGAAGTTCGCCAGTTACAAACAAAAACTTCAGCTCTAGAGCTGAAGTTCGACAGCTACAAAACAAAAACTCGCCAATTACAAAACAAAAACTTTTGCCAGTTACAAAAACAAAAATGCTACTTCAGTCCCGTCTACTTGAATGCTGAAGTTTTGCGTGATTGTCTTTGCTACTTTAGCCCCGGATGCTGAAGTTATGCTAAAAAGTGGGTACGCTTACAATTTTTTTTGCAAAGCGGCACAAGTTAAAACGTGACCAAAAGTGGGTATAGATGCAAATGTCCCTACAAAGTTAAAGTTTCGTGGCCCATGAAGGCTGGACCAACGACTAGTTACCTATTCGGCTTGTTATGTATTCATCATCAAGGGGTGTGGTTAGGGGTGTGCATTCGAATCGGTTTATCGATAAATCGAATCGATTATTTGTTATCAGTTTATCGATATCGGTTTCGATTTTGATTTCGAAATTTTCCTTATCGAGTTATCGATTTCGATTTCGATTTTGTCCTCTTCGGTTATCGGTTTATCAATAAACCGATAAGACCAACTTTTTTTTGTTATCGGTTTTTGTTAGAATTGTACCGAATTAGTCAAGCTCTCAAGGTTCCAATCGATAGCCAAAAAAGAACCAATATATTTTCTTCCAAATCGACCGTCTCAAACTGATACAACTCTACATATGCCTTCCTCCATCTCCTTCTTCATCTCTGACTATAAGTTCTCTCTTCTCCATCTTTCTATTTTCTCATTATCCTTTTGATCTTCTTTCATGGACTTTTCATGTACAACTCTCGTGGCTTCTTCAACTTCTTTTAATTTTCTTTCCCTTACACCACAAACTTTTCTTATACATAGGCCTAGAGAGAGATAATAATACAAAAAAGACCATTTTTTTTTTTATACTGTTGGAGTATTGGTGGCATACATTTGATCCCTTATATTAGTTTCGTTGCATGTGCTTGTTGACACAATTTTTATGTTATAAATGGTGTTCGTCTTATTTTAGCTTCTTTTTGTCCATATTAGTTAAACGTGTTTATAGCGATATACTTTCCGTGGAATCCCGCAAATTTTCTTATTTGTGTAATCGATAAGCCCCAAAAATCAATAAATCGAAAAAATCGAAACCTTATTGCAATGATAACGATAAGCATATGTACAAATCGATAATCGATATGTAATTATCGATAAGGATCAAATTCGAATCGATAAATCGAATGCACATCCCTAGGTGTGGTGGGATGGTTGAGATTCCATCACCCTTAATCAGAGTTTCGCATTGGAGTCCTGAGAAGTCCTGAGAATAAAGAACTTTTTTATAGAGAGCTCTTTACCCCCTTAGTTGTGAATCTCGATTAATTAGTCGGCCAATGGGCTTCGGATACCATATGATTAAACCAAAAAAAAAAAAGCCTATCCCATCAAATTTGATTGACAACTTAATGATCTAGGAACTAAAGAAAAGTAAAAGATAGTGCTGTAAGGCAAAAAGAAGAGAAAAAAATGGATGAAGATATATTACTACAAAAGAAGAATGAAGAACAAGTTTAATAAATAAGCAACCTGTCCATTGCTCATTACTGCACTAGTTAACTGGATTATTACATAGTAACACAAAGCAACCATTTCCATCTCTAGCTAAAGCTGAGGAAAGAAACGTTCTCAAATTTATCCAACTCCTACAGACACTCCTAATTGCGGATGGTAAAACAGTCCACCACTGCAATCCTATTCTGTATTGCAACAGAAGGAAAACAAAGATATAAAGCCTAAAACAATGGCCTCAAGGTTCCCAAAACCTATGTTGCATGGACTCTCTAAAATGTTGTCACACCCGTGTCGGATCCTTCAAAAATAAATACACTACTTTTGGAGGATCCGACATGCATCCGGCGACATTTTCGGAGAGTCGGAGCAACACAGCCCAAAACTAGGCTATACTTTTATTCAAATTAAAATGACAAAGGACAACTTTATACTATGCCCTCTTCATTTTTGACTTTGCAGGCCATATACACCTTATATACTAACTTTGAGTAAAATTATGTACTAACATCACAATACTAATACTAGTGAACAATTTAGTGTGTACTATGATATTACTCATTTTCAGTGGAATTGATCACCAGTATAAGTCTGCCCAAAAGACCAGCTAGCTGGGGCAACATTGTAAGATACCACACTTTTTCCATCACTTGTGGTAACCTTAAATGAAAGGCTTTGTCCATTAAGATAGTTGTTGCTTTGCCAGTTTTGACCCCAGTTTCTTGACATAGACTGCCATTGAGTTCTTGATCCTTTAATTGCTACAGCATGAACATCACCAGCACCACCAACATTGGTCACTAGTACCAAGTTGAAGTAAGAGTGTCCATTAATGGTGAACCTGATGCCTCCCTTTCTTCTGCAGGGTACCCTGCAGAAAAATTGCCCATAGGAGTAATGTTAGTTAATCCCATTGCAAGCATTTATAAGGTGTGGACTAACGGTTAACGAAGCTAAAATGGACCATGGGCAGTTGAGCTTAAATCCCAACAAGGATTAAAAAATTGGGCGATTGTTTCTCATCTATCTAAAGTTTGGGAATGTAGCAGGTACTTAGAGAATTAGTAGAGGTGTGTATAGGCTGATCTAGAGACTAATGTTATAAAAATTAAATAGATGCAATGTTTAATTAAAGTGCTCTTCCCACTCTAATTGAAAAATAAAATACTAAAGTATATACTTTTGACAACTTTTCCATTTTTCCGTTTTCCTTTGGATCCAAATGGGCAATTGTTGTGACAAGTCTAATTGATAGATATTCTTTTTACCATCAGTGTATATGAGATAAATCCTAACAAGAAACTATCCTAGAACAAATAGAAGGAAAATAACTTGAGCTGGAATTTATTGGACCAAATATGATGAAACCATTGACCATACCTTCTATAAGCAACAGGGACAATTCCAGCTCTGTATTGTGCAATGTGCTGGAAAGTAGGTTGAGAAAGGTCAAAATGGCGAAGGGGAGGGTTGCACCATCCACCAGCATTGCTAGAAAGGGCATTATTTGGTGGACAGAAATTGGTTGCTGTAACCAAAATGGAACCAGGTAAGCACCATTTGTGTTCATTCACACACTTAATCTCATAGCAAGATCCACAACTCAACCCATTGTTGAACAGAGCTGTGCTCAAAGCTGCAGTGTTTGTTCCATAACCTTGACTGTATAGATTCTCATAACCACAAGCACCACCTGTTGGAAATGCATGTAATAAAGAGAAACAAGAATCAACATAAACAAATAGATTTATGGTGAGTTCAAATCAGGGGCGGAGTTATGTAGAGCCTATAGGTTCAATTGAATCTCCTTCGTTGAAAAATTATGTTGCGGGAATAGGGCAAACATGAGCTTGCATTATATATAAACTGTTGAATCTCCTTAGCATGATAGAAGATTTTAGTATAATGGTAAAGAGATTCAAGATATTGCTTTAGGTCACATGTTCAAATTTCAAGTGTGACATTCTAGAGTTTTTTTGGATTCCCGACTTCGCCAATTGAACATATTATTTGCTTTTAGTTTGAAGTATATATACATATAAAAAATGTTGCATACCCATTGTACCAGAGGCATCACCACCTCCATAGAAGGTAGCATGAGCATTGATCCACCCTCCTCCATCATTCCCATTAGCAGATGAGACAATTGCAAGCAAACCAACCAGAAAAATCACAAATTTAGCCATATTCCTGCAGTAAAGATTGGAACTTTTCAGCACTTTCTTTAGTATAAATTCAAGAAAAGTTCACTCAGTTTTGGAAATGTAGAAGCATAGGAAAGACTAGTACTTTATTGGAGAATGTAGCTCTGAAATAAAGAGTAACTGGAGATTGATTGTAGAAAATGGAGGGAGTTAGGGGGGCATATGAATAAGCATTTAGAAATAGGGGATTTGGGAAAATTTTATTTTGTATCTCATACAACTGAAACTAATTGTATGAGGCAACTTTTTTGTCTCGTAGTTTTGTGGATCCAGATTTTTGTGGACCCAGAAGTGTAAGATTGGGGTCCACAAATTTGTTTAACAAAAAGGAGCCTCATACAACTAGTGTAAGTTGTATGAGACACAAAATAAACTTCTCGGGGACTTGGCCTTTAGGCAGTTACAGTAGCAGCTAGGGGTACATAGGTCAGGTTGGTTCGGATTTTGCAATTATCAAATCAAATCAATTGTATCGGGTTATTAAATCTAAAGACCAAATCGAACCAATAAAACTCAGGTTTTTCAATCTCGGTTTTTTCTCGGGTTTTCTAGTTTTTCGGGTTTTTTTAGGTAAAATCTTCATAGCACAAAACATATAACTTGTGCTCAAAATATTTCTTTAATCCTAGTAAGATACAACTATATAAGGTATCTTTCAAGAAAATAATACAAAATATGATATGTGTCATGGCATTATCCTAAAATATTCAACAATAAAGACAATAAAATTATGTAATATAAATATTGCTAATTAAAAAACCATAATAAAAATAAGTATAATCTAAAAGTACTAAGTCATGCTAAAATAAGTAGACTAATGAGGGAGTATTAATTATATGACTAAACGCTAAATAAAAAATAAAAATGGGTTATGCATTTTTATCTAAATTATTGCAAAACAAAAATAGATATTCAATACATTGTCGTTTGTAGTATTGAATTGAATGTCTTTGTTAGCATTAATATTGATTTGATTTTGGTTTGGACTTTTGTTAGCATTATTTAAGTTACTAATATTAATGGCTATAAAACTTATTAGAACATTCAAAAATTATAAGTCCAACCTTGAAATAATACCTTAAAAGATAAAATTATAAAAAAGTTTAAGAAATATTTATAAATTACATTACAATAAGTATATTTATATATTAAATATATCTAAAAAATTTATACTATATGTAATGTCGGATTGGTTTGGTTTCGGTTTGACTTTCTTTGGATCAAACCAAACCAATTATGGCCGGGTTTTTTTCCAACACCAAACTATAGTGGGTTTTTTTTCTCGGTTTGACTCGGATTATCGGGTTGGTGCGGTTTGTCGGTTTTCTTTGTACACCCCTACTAGCAACTAACTAACCGTTCTATACCAACCAGTTCAAGAGGCCTTTTTTTTTTTTTTTTGCATTTTTTGAGTTCTTTTATGGTGTGAATTGAAAGTAGATTTTGGGGACTGTGACAAATGGTTTATGGCTAAAAACCGCGTTATATTTTGTAGGGATTTGGTATGGAGACTAAACGAAAATTCCCAAAATGCAAGTTGGGGGATCTCTGGTTTTTCTCTACGGGTTGAATTGAAATTCTTCACATGAAATGCTAAGCACTTTTCTCTATTGAGCAGCACTATTTTTGGGCTGTTTTTCTTGGTTTCCTTACTTCAGAATTGTATTACTTATGTTAAAAATATTTACCATTTTTTGAAATTTTGACTTCACCATTTCGAAAGTAGGGCTAGGTTCTTTACTCTCCTTCAATCTTTTCATTCTCAATAAGCAAAAATTGCATCACCAAAATATGTAGTGAGATAGATGAGATCCGTACGTCCATTCTTGACTATAGAGGCCTCCCCAATAATAGGTGCAGCATGATACGAGTCTGAATTAATCGGGACTATAGATTTTAAATACCAAATAATTACTCAAAAGACATACAGTCAGACTTCTTTATAATAATATTTTTATGTAACAATACTTCTCTATAAAAGCTAAATTTTTACGGAATCAAATTTCATGCTCTATTGTAATATATGTTTTCTTATAATAACAACTCGCTATAATATCCAAAACTATCCGAAACAAATGACGCTGTTATAGAGATGTTTGACTGTAAAAGCAAAAAAACTGCATAGGAAGTAGAGAAATGTAAACATTAGAAATTTAAAGCTTAAAGTATGGTATTCCTTTAACATCGCATACAGTTATTGTTGAGAAAACTTGATGGAGTAGCTTTTTTTTTTTTTTTCCTAAGTAGCCGTCCCTTTACTTAAGGAAGCTTGACAGCAGTCCTATTCGACTCTTTTGATTGGCTAGTTTGAACAAATTAAGAGCCTGTTTGGACCTAAGGAATTTTTTATTTTATTTTTCGAAAATTTTTCACTTTTTTCCGAAATTAACATTTGGTCATAAAATTTTTAATTTTCACTTGAAGGTGCATTTTGGAATTTTTTAAAAATTTAAAAACTCCAAAAAGATGTTTTTTAAAATTTTCACTCAGATCACTAACAAAACTTCAAAAACAACCCAAAATTATATTTTTGTCCAAACATAATTTTAATTTTCAAAAATCATTTTCACTTGAAACTTTTTTTCACTTTTTTTTTTGAATTTTACAAATCTTATGTCCAAACGCCCACTAAGTGCACCAAAGGCAACAACAAAAACAATATTTAAAAACGACCCTCTAGAATTTCTTTTTGTTTAACTTATCAATAGAAAAAGCTGCTTAAAAGTTAAAAATGAGTTTTAATTCTTCTCGTTAGCCCGTGTTTTCTCCGTGTCTCAACTTTGTCCCTCCTAGCTCAGCTGCTTATTGCTTTAAATCATCAGCTGCTTATTGCTTTAAATCAAGTTATGTCAACTCATATAATACTCCTACCGACAAATTTGGTTACAAACTTATATTTTTTTTAGCATGCCATACCTCTTGCTTAATTAGTGGCAAAGCTCGAAATTATAACGAGGGATTCAAGAAATCTTACAGTAAATTTTTTATTTATATAAGTATATATATATATATATATATAATATTTTTCTACTATCAGTATATGTTACATAATTTTTCGAGAAAGGAATTCAATTGAACCCTCATCAGACATAGCTCTACCACTAACAGGAATGACTCAATTAGACATATTATCATATGCTCGCACTTCATATTATTTCACTTCATTAAATATCATTACGTGCAATGGCTGCAAAAGTACAACCATCCTCCCTTGCCTACTAAATGAGTTAAGGGGAATCTACAGCACGTGGAATATTAAAATTTATTTTTTATTTATCAGGCTCATTATTGGAAAATTAACAACTTAACTATCACTTTTTATTTGGATTACCATATGATAAAAAAGAAAACCTATTTAATATGCCCCTTTAAGGAAAAAAACTCAAAACTTAATGCACTGAACACTTTCGTCACATTATAAGATTTGTAGCAAGTGAAATTAATCTAATGCAGATCCCTGTACTTGTCTCGACATATATTATTTTAAATTCCTTGTTTTTACGATTTTTAGATTCCCATATCTTTTGCTTATCAATATCTAATGGCATTGTTTATTGCCCTATTAACAACAATAAATAGATTAAAAATGATCATCAGATTGTGAGACCCTAGTTATATTTACTAATTATTTGCAAGAAATGAAGCTCTTGAATTATTACCGCAAAACAATCGTGATTGTTGTTTCATATTTTTTTCTGTTGTTCAAATTTCCTCTTAAAAGAGCATCTATCGTTGTTGCCCATTCACTTTGTTTTCTGGATATGCTTATTTGAAACATTGTTTAATTTGTTCCAAAATCATGAAATGAACGACTCAAGTAGAAAAGAAAGAAATATTGCTCTCAAAGCATTTGGCTGCAGTTAAGGATCAATTGAAATTAAGCTGGACATGCAAATTTGTTCAACATTCAAAAAACTAACATAAATATGTATAACCATGATATTAGAAAAATGTGATTTTCATGAAACTTAAAGAATTCATTAGTCGTTATCATGAGACATAGTAACATACCTTAACCCTGGGTATTTTCTTGATAAGATATTAAACAAGTTCGCTTCTCCATTGCAAATTAAGATTTAGGAAATTCTGTTTTTCTCTTCACCCTTTTTCATATACAACTAATTAACCTTATGGACTGGTAATTTTTGAGTGGTTGACATTAGTTACTCTCATTCATCAAATAAGTAGTTACAAAACTCTATTACTTAAGCCACAATCACATTTGGCTCCTTTCTCCGTCGTTCAAGAACCCCATTTATCCTCTCCTATCTTTGCATTTTCAAGTATACACATATTTTTATATTATCAGATTGTGGATATGGATTAAAGAAGTACTCCAAAATACTATTCACATTTAATATCAAGTGGATTTATATTTTTGCGGGTGCTTAGCAAAATGATCAAGTGAAAAGAAGAAAAAAAGAGATAAAGATTTTAACCTAGCAAAAGTAACTCAACCTTATAGTAATAAATATGAAATCAGCTGTGTTTCTATGTAGTGAATTAGTACTACATATTCAGTAATTGTAAGCAACCCAATCTCTGATTTTAATGTACATGTCTCATGAACTGAAAAATTCTTTGGCAACATTTAAGATTTATTTTCGCTTGCATCACAGATTTAGATAAAGATTAAAAAACGTTAAAAATGCTGAATATGAAAAAGGAAAGGGAAATAAATCACAAGGAAATGGAAGCAAACAATTTGGAGATTAGAGTATCTTTTGATTGCAAGTTTAGGCTATTATTAGTTCGTGCAACCGTAAAAGCTCACTTTCATTGCCAAAAATGAAAGAAAAAAGACTATAAGAAAAGCAATGCTCCGTTAGTTTGGATAAACCTTGTTGACTTTCGAAAGGATACCATAAGCTTATAGTTTGAATGGGATTTTACACAAATAACACTATTTACTTTTCCTAATCGATATATACATATATTATATATTGACGGTACATGATTATAAATATTTCATACATATATAATGCATATATAATATATTCCCCAACTATATTTAATTTAATCAATTAAGTGGGAGGTTATTTAGGTTAATTCTTCGTTAATTAAATGGAATTATTTAAATATTTCAAACCAAGAAAAGACATTTAGCATTACTCTGAGGTGGGCCTGAAATTAATACAACGTTTCACAAGTAAGGGGCGAGTAAGTTCTGTAATATAACAAATGGTATCTATAGATGAATTATTATTATTAAAAGATAATGCTTTATAAAAATTTCTGTAAATTAAATTGGGGGAACTGACACCATATAACAATGCATATTAGTATAATTGGCATTTTTTTGGCCTTAAATTTAGTTGAGCTTCTGATATAATTGGCCGTTCCGTCGAAAAATATATCACTCGCTAGCTCATTGTTTTACATTATAATTTGTAGCAAAAAACACAACATATGCTAACCAACAATTAGTTTTTGAGCGGCCCTTTGTCACTTCTTCACTCTCTAGTCCTTCGCGTAAAACTCAACAAAAACTAATCTCCATCTCCTAAAATGTCAAGACTCGCAACAGTTGACGAACTAAAAATACGAATAGATTTTTCTCTAAAGGGGTAAAAGTTTGCTCCTTTCAATATTTGTGAGAACCCCTTTTCTCTATTAAGTTCGTTGTTGGGTTTCTTCTCCGAGGTATTTTTTCAATTTCGCTAGTTGAATAACTAGTCTTTCTTTGTATTTCATATATTTTGTGCTTAATTCTTTGGGTTTAGCTCATGATACGGTGGTTTCTTATCTTGGCCATATGGGTTTTGAATAAAAAATTTGTGTTTGGTCTGGTCTGTTTAGGGTTGGTTATGCATGAATTTGCGTGTTAGGAACAGGGATGGTAAGGAAATTTTTTAAATTTTGGAATTGAAATAATTTTTCTATTTTAAAACGGAAGTAATTTGTCTTTAGAAATGCTTTTGTTCCGAAAATATTTTCTTTTAAATCTCCAAAATAAAGGAAAACATTTCACTATCAATGCCTAACATAGAAAAATCAAGGACCTAGAACTCTTCCTCATCGGCGACCTTAGCCATTACCGATCACAATCAATATCTACAAATCTCTTTCTCTATGACCCAAAGACTAAAAAATTCTCATGGTTAAAATTGTATAATCAATGTATATATATTGCATAGTTAAGTGTATACTTTATAAAAACTCAAAGTGAATATAAATACACAGATTATATAAAAAATACACTAAATATGAATTTATTATATATGAGATACACTAATTATACATCTCATATACAAAGACCTTTAGAATCCATAGAAGAAGAAGAAGAAGAAGGCAGTAATAACCTCTTGCACAAATACACTTCTCCCTTCACTTCTTCACAGCAAATGTACATAAATTAATCCCAAAAGAATCATGGAGTTCCAACCTCCAAAATGGCCATCAAAACACCACTAAAGGGCCAACAATTATTTACATTGTATATATATATATATATATATATNTGAATATACACTAACGATACATTAGGGATACACTAAAAGATAGAGGATACACTTCATATACAAAATTTATACGATGTAATAATATATATATACAAATTTTGTACATTTTATAGCAGTTTATATTTAATTTTTATAATATACACTGAAAAATAAATGATACACTTTATATACAAAATTATACAATATATTAGTGTATATAAAAATTTTATACATTCTAAAATAGCCTATATACAATTTTTATAATAACATTATTATACAAAATGCAATTATATACATATAACAATGCATATACAACTTTTATGCACTGTGTATATAAAATTTTATATGAAATTATATTGTATATTCCCAACACCATTAATAATTCACTACCAGTACCCACTTCAAAATATCTGTACTTACAAAATATCATTAGGACCCGAAAAAGAAGAAGAAGAAGAAGAAGAAGCAATTACATAAACAAAACTAAGAAGAAGAAGCAAACATTCAGAATAAGAAGAAGAAGCAACATTATTACGTTTCTCCATTTTTTAAGTAGCAGCTCAAAATTACAAAATGAATCAATAAGAAAAGAAATGAGTATAAGGAAAGGGGATGATGTTAAATGAATTGAACTAGTGGAAAAATGCATGTGCAGATTTATACAAGTGTCTTTGTAAAAGTCACTTGCTAACTACTTTACTAAGTAACCAAAATAAATAAATAAAATATAAATGCAAATGGAAGAGAGAGAAAAGTAAAAGGTGTGGGGAAAAGGAAAAGTTCTGGGGAGACGTAGAAAGAGAAAAAAAGTTACATTGGGAAGGGAACTATACCTTGGGTAGAGAAAACCGAGGGTCCAAGAGGAGGAAAATCTATGCATTGGAAAAAGTGGCTACAACTTCTCAATAAATTGGGCCTAAAGGTTATTTTGGGTCAATGAGGAAAACATGGGCTAATAAAAAATTTAGAGGGCCATAGAGCGTTGGCATTGTATAGCCAAATTTTAAAAAATCTACTTCCTATTTACGGGCGTACCCTATTTTTATGCCATCTTTTATCCTATATCTTATTTTTAAAAACTATTGATTTAGTAACCAACTAACAAAAAATTCGTAATAATATGACCATTATACCCTTTCCAAAACATATAAAAATTGCATCAAGCATACCCAGATTCAAATTCCAAATCTCCTCCATCAGTCTGTTTCTCCTGAGATCGCCATTCAAATTCAAATACATTGTAAGTATTCAAATTCATCTCCAGAATTCAAAATAGTTTTTGAATTATATGTTTTTTGATTGATTGATTGAAATTGTTTGACGAACTTCACTGATATGCTGAATTTGCATTCTAAATCTGTTTGACGATGAATTCTAACATTCTAATCCGACAAATATGCTGAAACAAGCTGAAGTTATTTAGTTCATATCTAAAAAATTCAGCAAAACGAGCTGGCAAATAACACAACGAAGAAAAAATTATATTAAAACATTATATGAGTGTTTTAATATTTAAAACACCTATGCACAAAAATTTCAGCATAGGTGCTGAAGTTTTTTTGTTAATATTTAAAAGCTGAAGTTTGCCTATTACACTGGGTAAAAAAAAAATAAAACATAAATTAAAATTTCATATTGCACAAAAAACTTCGGCATAAGTGCTGAAGTTTTTTAGTTAATATTTGAAAACTTCAGCAGGAGGAGCTGAAGTTTTCCTATTACACTGGATAAAAAAAATAAAACATCAATTAAAATTTCATATTGCACAAAAAACTTCAGCACATGTGCTGAAGTTCTTTAGTTAATCTGTAAAAACTTCGTCTAATGGAGCTAAAGTTTTCCTCCCGCACTATGTATTTTATTATCATTTTTTGAAAAAACTTCATACCAAAAAATGCTTATGTTTTCAGGAATATGTAAAATATTTTTCATATAATTTTTTGTATGCTGAAGTTTTTTTAGTTTATCTGCTAAAAATGCTTAATATTTTGTCGTTCAATATGTAATTTTCGGATAAGTTTTTGTTAATTGTTCTGTTATTTTCTAAGTTTAAAAAGAATTTTTAGTTCATGCTTGAAGTTTTCATCAAGCACTGTGTATTTTATTATGATTTTTTGAAAAAACTTCATACCAAAAAATGCTTAATATTCGGATTAGTTTTTGTTAATTCTTGCTGAAGTTATATAGTTCATTTCCTCTGCTATTTTTCGAGTTTGAATAGAATTAATATTAAAAAAAACACAGAAAAAACTTAAAATAAAACTGAATATTTCATTAAACATAAAAAAGATAAATTAAATTACATAAATAACAAAATAACATAAATAACAAAAAGAAAAACTAATCGTTCATATCATCATCGTCGTCGTCGTCACTACTAGATGGACGAGCATCTTCATCAACAAGATTATCAAATCTTGCATACATCACAAGCGTATCAAGCTTGTTGTTAATTTCTTCCAACTCCCTGTCGTACTTTTCTATGAGCTCATCCAGTCACACCCTTGGACTTACCAAAATAGTGCTTCAGAATATTGCTCTCTCGATTAATTAGTTTTTCAACATTATGTGCTGTGATCCGCAAACCACACATGATGTGGAAGTCTTCAAGGGTGAAGGAAACATCATGGCCAAAAATCTTGAAACTAATGGAGTCTCGATCATTTGT